TAACAACTTCCATGGTCTCGTCCACATGCTCTCCACAGTAGCCCAGCCTCGCCTCTACACAACGCCAGCCGTCTAACACTGACGGCGCTGACTGAGATAGCCAACTACTCTCCTTTGTAGCGCGTTATCTAGCGGAGACGTTAGAGACGACGGCGACGAGATGACGGCAACGACGACGAGACGAGACCAATCCCAGAACCTGCAGCCCCGAGCCCCCCACTCTCGGCTCCTTTTATGCTCCCAGCGCGGCCTGGCTCCGCCCTGACCGCGCCTCCCTTCTCGAACCGCTAGCAGGTTCCAAGGGCCTCCAGACGGGGTCCTCCGTGAGCCTTGCCCTAGTTCCTCCGCCCTGCCAACACACTCCGTGCACACCCTCACCGGCGTGAGCGCTGTCTGTCCACCGCAGTTGCCGCTGCCGTCCACCAGCCGGCGCTATCACACTACACATGCACCAAGTGACAGCGTGCGCTCGGCTACGAGACATAGTCATGGAGCGGTGCTCATCTCTCTGTTGTTGGCCAAGAGACCAGTGAGGAACTATGTTCTACATTACCATGGCAGGGCCCACTCTGTATCTGGGGTGACCGTACAAATCGCTAAACCATTCGATGAGTGCAAAAACACGTTTACAAATTGTTGTTTAAGTATGTACTTGGAGTGTTAGTATTACTATTCTCAATGTGATGATTATCATTATTATGAAGAGGTTGCAATGGGTGGGCACAAACTAAAAAACAAACTTTTGTTTATCGGTAAAGTATTAAATAAATTAAATCACGACGTTTCGATTGCAACACAAGCAATCATCATCAGGTGGGAAAACCACAGCAAGACATTTTTTTGCTGAAGTGGGAGAGAGATGCCGTGGTTTTCCCACCTGATGATTGCTTGTGTTGCAATCGAAACGTCGTGATTGAATTTATTTTATACCTACGTGACTTTACCGAAAGAACTAAAGAGTATGGATCGTTGCAGTCATGAAAACTTCAAATCTAGATAATTTTTTATTTTACCAGGTAAGGCCCACTAAGCTATGTATCCCCTTTTCAGAAGCGACCTGGCCTCAAATGAGAGCTCAACGAGGTGGCTTATGTGGAAATGTATTTCAGCCAAATACTCTAAACGCACGTTCGGATTCTAAATGGACCCAGATAAAACTCCACACGTCCGCGGGGAGAGAGACACGCAAACTTCAAATGTACAGGCGTCAAGGTCGGGATCGAACCCACGACCTCCTGTACACCAGGCGAGGTATGTAACACCCATCGTCCACTTGTGCAGGGTGGCCCTTCGAGTGGCGCCCACAGGATTGGTGACCAAGGGGAAGAGGTGGTGGTAGTGGTGACTGAGAGCTGTGGACGTAGGAGGATCGGAGTCCATTGTGCACTAGTCGAGAGGTCTGGCAGAAGCAAGCCGGGTATGGTGCAGTCATTGACCGATGATGATCCAGCACTGTGAATTTGACATCTCACAAGCCGTTGTTAACGTCTGAAGCTGCTGCCCGGCCCCGGCGCAAACTCACGCCGCTAAACTAGATCGCCAGCCGTGGTCAGTCCACTGCTGGATGAAGGCCTTCCCAAGCCATCGCCGTCTCCCGTGGTGCTGCGATCATATAACAATCCACCCAACACCTGCACGCGAGCCGATTTCGTCGCTCCATCTCCACGGTGCGCAGGACCTCTCACGCCGGCGTGGGTTCTGTATGGCCGTAGGGTCACTGCGCTGTGTGTAGGAGCTCGTGTGACTGCGTGTGTGGACATGTTGAGGTGCTCGCAAAGGGGCCGTCCATAAATGACGTCACGCGATTTTGGATGATTTTTTACCCCCCCCCCCCTCGTCACACGGCGTCACAAAAAGTGAGACCCCCCCCCTCAAAACCATATTTCAATTTTTTTAATAAAACATGCTTTAAATCGCTTTAAACTATTGTCATTGTAGTGCGTATTTAATGTGGCGCTGCACTCTGATGTTGTAGGAGAAAACATTTATTAAAAAGTCTAATTAAGTAGAGCGTGTTGTATATATTTATTTAAAGTTGCGTATTTTGATGTGACGTAACATTTCTCAACCCCCTCCGCCTCGTCACAAATCGTCACAAATGTCTGACCCCCCCCAGGTGCGTGACGTCATTTATGGACGGCCCCAAACAGCACTTGCCCCAAAAATATGTTAAGGCTATATGGGGAATCTTTGTCTTTGTACATACTTGTTAAATAACAATTCGTACAAACCGTTGCCCATCGCGGGTCTGGTTCACGTTCTTGAAAATAGCCGCAATCGGTACATCCGCGATGTTACCCTACAACCCGACATCAAACAAACATTAAACAGGACGTATTTTGGATCTAAAATGAGTCGCATTTTCCAGTGTTGAATATAACTTGTCCGGTAAATGTATAGAATTAAAAACAAAATCAATCTAAATCTTAATTTAAAGCTTTTGCGACTTGCAGGAATTCATACGTAAATAGAAAATAATAGATCATCACGACGTTTCGATCGCAACACAAGCAATCTTCTTCGGGTAAGCAATCTTTTCTCACCTGAAGACGATTGCTTGTACACCATTGGAATCTCATTTGCCAGTAAAAAATATGATAATTGGTTTTTTACCCTTCTCTCTGGCAACAAAACTGACACCTTTTTTTGCGCCTTTTGGCGTCATCTGGTCCAACCCGTGTGAGACTAGGCTCTAAGGAAAGCTGTCTCGGGTGTGGACCAATCAACTTCAAGGACAGTGCATATATTATCAGTTATGTTTTTTTTTGCATTATGGCTGCAGTTATTGTGGTCTATGCAAACATGACTCCTTGTAAAAAAAGGTGTCAGTTTTGTTTCCAGATAGAAGGGTAAAAAAACAATTATCACGATTGCTTGTGTTGCGATCGAAACGTCGTGATGATCTATTATTTTCTATTTACGTGACTTTACCGAAAGACCCACAGAGTAAAAAATCTATCTTATGTACAATACTGCGCACGGATACGTGTGTAGAGAAGTTCCGACGGACGTACTTGTAGACGGAGGTAAGTTAAGGGCTTCCGCCAGGGTTTATTAAAGCTTATCAATATTACACAGCAGGGTACACAACTCCCAGGGGCTAGGGGTCCTACTCTGAGTCCGGGTCCCTGCCGGCTAGCTCCGGTCTCTCTCGTGTCGGATCGTGGACTCTGTCGACTCCACCGAGCGGAGAGAGAAGCACCTCTATGGCTACCACCGGCTTCTCCCCAGACTCCCTATTCGATCCCTCTCTCTACCCCTGGTTCCCTCTTCACCCCGCTTACTCTACCCGTTCCCACAGTGACCCCGCTTACGTCACGGGGTCTCCCTTAAGTACCCTAGGAGACGTGACGTCATCGCACTGAACGGCACACCTGACGTCACGTCCCCATTTTACTCCTCTACACGTGTAAGTCCATGAGTAATAATCGTGCATGGCTGAACCCTGCTGCCTCCTCCTCCTCCTCACTGGAGGCTGGGAACAACGCCGCGTGGCCTGGGACCCGCGATGGAGGAACGACGCTTGGGAGACGAGATGATGGAGACGAGATGATGGAGACGAGAGGGCGCCATGTGTCTTCATCCTTCCGCGACTGCGGCGTCGTCATCGCGGGCAGTGCAGTTACGAGGCGTCAATGAATCTCGCGGTCAAACGCGAATGGTCGGGGCCACAGCGGCCCGATCGGCGAATTGCACCTCAATAAATTTGGTGCGAAACCACGATGGGAAAACCCCGACAGGAGGGAATGGTCTTCTTGGTTCTTTCGGTAAAATCACGTAGAATGGAAATAATAAAATAATAGGAAATTCAACAGAATTCTTTTATTTTATTGCTTTATAGTTTTATTTTTATTATTTTATTATTTCCATTCTACGTGACTTTACCGAAAGAACCAAGACGATGAATCCCTGCAGTCACGAAAGCTTTAAATCGAAAAGGAGGGAATGGGTTTCCTGCATTTGTGTTTATTGAAGCCTCGGGTTGTGAGAGCGGTGGATGACTGCATCGATTCCGACCGATCTGCTCGCCCCAAAGAGATTTGAATGCGGAGGACGACTGGGGAATATTTTGTGTTTTATTGACGGCAAATATAAGTAAAAACCCCCACCCCCCCTCACTTTACACAGTGCAACGGGTGCGATACATTCAGCTTTGGGGCTCATGTCCACGATCGCAATGCCAGGAGCGCCAGGAGCATCAGGCAGGAACGTCGAGCATGGTTGACTTTTTCCATCGCCACCATCATCATCATCCTTGATTGAGTTGTTGGGTGAGGCCACGTAATGACGCGGTCAAATTTATGCCGGAAGACCCTCCATCATCCGACATAGCCAAAGACAGGACAAGATCCAGGAAGAGAGACTAAAACCACGTCACCTAACCCGGGTTTCTTAAATAGGTGTCATGATAGCAATCAGATTTAAACTTAGATATGAACCATTATTAATTCAGTGTACTGCAATGATATTTGCTCAGGTTCCAGATCCATACCACGCCGTGGCAAGTCGACAAGAGTCGCTGTATGGAGGAGAGAGGAACTGCTCCTCGACCAGGGACATCAACGAGGATGAGCACCGAGGCATTGCTCGTTTGAGCTACGATGGCGAGTTGTTAAATACAGGAGGTCGTGGGTTCGATCCCGACCATGACGCCTGTATATTTGGAGTTTGCGAGTTTCTCTCCCCGTGGACGTATGGATTTTTCTCTGGGTCCTCCGGTTTTTCCCTCCATATTTAGCATCCAACGCGCGTTTAGAGTATTTGGCTGAAATACATTTCCACATTGATGGGTGCGTATCGCACCCTCCGCGCTCGGGCTTGCGAGGGTGTTTGTTCGCCGCGTCGTCTTTAAACGCTTTTAGATGCAATTGGAAATATCCTGTGCAGCCCCATTGTTTGTCAAACGGATTCCCAAAACGTGTTCCAAAAAGCCGTTCGTTCGCCTGCAGAAAGTGCTCCATACCGATCATCGAAGAAGACTCCAATCCGTAGCAAGAAGGTTCGTCGGCAGATGTAATGTTATTTTGACTCGGTGATGAGTACACAAATCCCTTGACGACAACACAACGCGTTTCATTTGTAGCGACATAGAGATGGGCGTACCTACACTTTACTCCACCGCATGCGACGTACCGATCGGCGAACCACGCCAGGAGATGGAATCGAACCGGTCGTTCTGGATTGCAAGTCCAGTGTGCTCGTCATTATCAAGCCACGGCAGCCGTGGGTCCCGAAAGCCCAGAGTCACGATCCATTGAAAATATTCCCCTCTGTAATGTTTGCAGTTTACAAAAACTCCAGTTTTCACCATTCACAACCGTGTACCGAGTTTCTGTGCCTACCGATAACTCGGATTCGCTCAACGTGAGACTATCGGTGGGTGTGACGTGTGCAAAAGCTCGGCTGTGATGGGGACATTGAAAGGTTGTCAGCGGTAGAAATGTTTGTTTAGTGACACACACGGTGGCATCGCTGTGCTGTGGGCACGAACTGGATGGAGCCGTCAGCCACTCACGACCAACCACCACGTGGAGTCGTTAAGCGCTAGGTTTGAAAGGAGCCATGAAAAGTAAAATTCTGCCCAAGGCCACAAATGCCTCTGTCAATCAAGAAGACTGAAGAAGAACTCAATTACTTTTACAATACTAACATCTTCTATTCATATTAGAAGTCATGTTTCTCGTCTGTAACTTACAGATAAAAAAAAAATCGATATTATTACTTAACTGTGCGTAACTTTATACAACTGTAAACTTTGGTGCAAGGATTGGCGTTTAGAGAGGGGGGGGGATCAACCCCAAGATACTTTCGGTTTAAGTCAACAAAGATGCATTGCATTTACAGTGTGAGAACCCAGCCAAAGCACCAATAACAATAAAACTATACAACAGCAAATACAAATAATAATTATTTTATAAACACAGCGACGGGACAGCTGAACGAGACCACTGTTTCAGTCGCAACTTTGAGGAGCTAGCTTTCCGTAAAATGTTTTTTTTTTAGAAAATATCTGCTAATGAATAAAATAAGCGGAGAGGTCTGTTGTGTCGTAATAATAATTCAAAACTGGTGACTCGGTCAACCAGCAACGCTGCCACCGACTTCTTCTTGCAGACAAACAGCGAATTTGAATTTTAAAACTGGCCTGTTCACCGTCTTTTTTTACCCTAACTTTAGATTCCCAAAATAACTTTATTTGCACACAGTAATATCCCCTCTCCCCCCCTATAAAATTTTACATGATACGAACGTGCAATGAGATCTTTGTGGTTTTCATTGAACTTGCAGAATAAATAATGAGTAAAATTATTAACGAGGTGTTCCTTTCACCGTCCTCTTTACTGCGTTCAGCACAACCAGGACGGCACTACGGGAGCCACTTGAACAGATCTCTGTGAAAAACTTGGCGGCTGTCAATTTAACAACCAAAGACCCTCTCGGAGCGGACGGGCGGTCCTCTTCGCAATGCCTCTGAAGCCGAGCGACGGTCGGTTACTCCACATCAAACGCCGCCGGGTTTTGCGGGCTTCGTCCCCGCTTGCGGTTTCACCGCCGTCGTTCACAAGCGCCCCCCCCCCCCGCTGGGTTTTCGTGGCCGTTTCGCGGCAACAGCGGGGCCCTCTGTGTTCTCGTGCCTCCTTTCAGACTCACCTCGAGTGCGAGGAACACGGCGAGGTCACGCAATCGACACCGCGGGCGCGCTCTCCCACTGCGCGCTGCGACTTGTGCCTCTTGAAATGCCCTCTAACGCTCGCAAACTCACGCGCTCACTCACTCGGTCATTCACTTGCCCGGCCACCCACTTCGCTCGCTCAGTCGAATACTCGCTCACTCATTCACTCGCTCCTATACCTGCCCTCTCACCCATTCGAGCCATTTTCCCGAGGCCCTCGCAGGCCTCGGCCAGGCCACAGCAGGCCACAGCACGACACCTCCGCGTGCCACACCAAGCCTTCTTGTCTTGTGCAGAGTAGGCATCGCCCTATTGCTCAGACTTCACGACTGCGCAGAGTGGTGGAATCCGTCGCGAGCAGCGATCCGTCACTGCTTGGCGACCGCCGGCAAGCACGTTCTATGGGCTCAAGCCTCGAGCACTTCGGGGGAGTCCTGTGATCGATCGCTGTGGAGGAGGAGGAGGACGTGACGCTGGCCGCTTTTGCAGGACCACGCGGCCGCATCGCACCTGTAAGGCGGTGGGTGTGTCGGACTGACGATGTCTAGCAATGGCTGGCCACCGTGTAGCTGCCGCTCAACACAATTGTTCATCGGCCATTGTCCAGCGTGTTGTCGTGGCTAACCCGGTCACTGCGTGCCTAGTTTATAATAATACAATTGAAACAATTCACAGTCCCTTATCGATCCGTTACCAGATGCTGGGCAAAGGCCTCCCCCGCACCGTGCCGGCCACTGGGGTTGTTTGACCATACCTTACCACGCCGGTCACCGCAGGTTGGTGAAGACTGGTGGGGACAGGGCGGGGGGGGGGGGGTTCAGATGTCACTTGCTACTGATGTGTTCCGGTAATCTAACTCGGGTCGCCGGGTTAACAGCACGGTGTGTCAACCAATGCGCCACCGCTCCGCCCCAAGTATCCATTCAGCGATCGCGAGCGTTTTCACGAGCCCACTGACCAACGTCAAATGACCAAACGCTCGCCACTTCCCATCGGCCGCTCTCCGGCACGTAAGCATCCAGCCACCAACAGACAGCGGCCCGTCAGCCGCTGTCCGGCAAGCCGAGTCTCTCCGCCAGACGTCAGAATTCAATATCTAAAAATAAAACAGTGCAACGGGTGACTCTCTCCCCCAGGGCAATCGTTGTTGCTCTTTCGCCAGCATCCAGCGCCGGCTGCCCGCCAGCAGTCGCACCAGCAGCCAGTTACGCGGCAAGCGACGGTGGCGGCACTAAACGGGTGCTGGCGTTGGCGGGTGGCTGGCGGCGGTCGTGTCGGTGCCTCGGGCTAGCGGCACTTGCAGGACTTGACGAGCATGTTGGATAGGTGCGTGACCGTCTGGTTGCGTCCCTTGTAGTAGAGGATCGTGAGGGACTCCAGCTCGTCGGGCACGCAGCAGGGGCTGGCCGATGCCGCCGGGTTCATGGTGTTGTACAGGCCCAGCACCTGTGTGCACAGGTGGGGGGGGGGGGGTCACATGCACACGTGGCATCAGATACCCACGTTGAGTGTGTGTGCTGCTGGATGCTGAAGGAAGCTCGCTACAACGAGCAGAAGCACCGTGCGGCTAAAACACAGCAACTGTGGCACGGTAGGGGACACGGGTGGTGGTGCATCTGCCCAGTCGTCTCAGTCCGTCAACCCATGGCACCTGGGTTTGTAACGTGATCTCCTGCCAGCAGCGAGCGTTTGACACTTCACGTGGCCTTAAAATGCACATAGCCTGGCACAAGCACCGTGGTGACCTCACCGCCACTTAGTGGCGAATGGCGGTTGTTGTTGCCAATGCTAACGGCACTTGCCCCAGCACTCTATGTGGGCTACACGGGGGACCTCTGCCTGTGTCTCAGTGCCAATGCTAACGTCACTTGCCCCAGCACTCTATGCGGGCTACACGGGGCACCTTTGCCTGTGTCTCAGTGCCAATGCTAACGGCACTTGCCCCAGCACTCTACGCGGGCTACACGGGGGACCTCTGCCTGTGTTTCAGTGCCAATGCTAACGGAACTTGCCCCAGCACTCTACGTGGGCTACACGGGGCACCTCTGCCTGTGTCTCAGTGCCAATGCTAACGGCACTTGCCCCAGCACTCTACGCGGGCTACACGGGGGACTTCTGCCTGTGTCTCAGTGCCAATGCTAACGGCACTTGCCCCAGCACTCTACGCGGGCTACACGGGGGACTTCTGCCTGTGTCTCAGTGCCAATGCTAACGGCACTTGCCCCAGCACTCTACGCGGGCTACACGGAGGACTTCTGCCTGTGTCTCAGTGCCAATGCTAACGGCACTTGCCCCAGCACTCTATGCGGGCTACACGGGGCACCTCTGCCTGTGTCTCAGTGCCAATGCTAACGGCACTTGCCCCAGCACTCTACGCGGGCTACACGGGGCACCTCTGCCTGTGTCTCAGTGCCAATGCTAATGGCACTTGCCCCAGCACTCTACGCGGGCTACACGGGGCACCTCTGCCTGTGTCTCAGTGCCAATGCTAATGGCACTTGCCCCAGCACTCTACGCGGGCTACACGGAGGACTTCTGCCTGTGTCTCAGTGCCAATGCTAACGGCACTTGCCCCAGCACTCTACGCGGGCTACACGGGGCACCTCTGCCTGTGTCTCACCGTGCTGTGCTGGGTGTCAGAGCTCCACAGGTAGGGGCAGGGCCCAGCGCAGTAGTTGGCGTAGTACCCCTTGGGCTCGTGGATCCACTTCCACTTGAGGTCGCGCCGGAAGTCCACGTAGAGCTGACGCAGGCAGCAGTTGCGCTCCTTGTTGCTGCGGGGGGCACGGGGTATAGAGCAACAGTGTTCACCTGCGTGCGTATGTAGATGTGTGCCTGTGTGTGTAGATGTAGGTGTGTGTGTGTGTAGATGTGTGTCTGTGTGTGTAGATGTGTGTGTGTGTGTAGATGTGTGTCTGTGTGTGTATGTAGATGTGTGTCTGTGTGTGTGTGTATGTAGATGTGTGTCTGTGTGTGTGTGTGTAGATGTGTGTGTGTGTGGTGTGTAGATGTGTGTGTATGTGTGTGTGTGGTGTGTAGATGTGTGTATGTGTGTGTGTGTAGATGTGTGTAGATGTGTGTCTGTGTGTGGTGTGTAGATGTGTGTGTGTGTGGTGTGTAGCTGTGTGTGTGTGGTGTGTAGCTGTGTGTGTGTGTGGTGTGTAGATGTGTGTGTGTGTGGTGTGTAGGTGTGTGTCTGTGTGTGTGTGTCTGTGTGGTGTGTAGATGTGTGTCTGTGTGTGTGTGTAGATGTGTGTGTGTGTGGTGTGTAGGTATGTGTCTGTGTGTGTGTAGATGTGTGTGTGTGTGGTGTGTAGATGTGTGTCTGTATGTGTGTGGCTGTGTGGTGTGTAGCTGTGTGTGTGTGTGTGTGTGTAGCTGTGTGTGTGTGGTGTGTAGGTGTGTGTGTGTGTGTGTGTAGCTGTGTGTGTGTGTGGTGTGTAGCTGTGTGTGTGTGTAGCTGTGTGTGTGTGTGTGTAGCTGTGTGTGTGTAGATGTTTGTGTGTGTAGGTGTGTGTCTGTATGTGTGTGGTGTGTGTGTGGTGTGTGTAGATGTGTGTCTGTATGTGTATGGTGTGTGTGTGTGGTGTGTGTAGATGTGTGTGTGTGTGGATGTGTGTGTGTGTGTAGATGTGTGTAGATGTGTGTGTGTGTGTGTCGATGTGTGTGTATGTGTGTGGTGTGTGTAGATGTGTGTCTGTATGTGTGTGGCTGTCAGCGCGCTGCGCTGCAAACCTGGCGACCCGAGTTCGATTCCCGCTCACGGCCAACATCGGTGACGATTATCTTAAGCGGTCCTGGGCCTCCCCTAGATCGACTCAGCCTCAAATGAGTAACTGGTGCGGTGTGTAAAAACATCGCCACTGGGGAGACAAAGGCGGCTGGGCGTGGTGCTGACCACCCACCCCCTCGTGCGCCTTGCCGGCCTTCACAGGTGCTCGCTAACAGCACTTGCCCCAACAGTCTGTTCAGGCGACACGGGCCATCTCCGTCTTGTGTTTCACAGTCAGTGTATCCGTGAGCGTGTCGATGCGTCACTGCGCCGTGCGGTCACCTGAAGCAGTAGTTCTCATCGAGGGCTCTCCTCCTCCTCGTGCCCCCACTGCCCTGCGCCGTGGCGTCTCCGCCCTCGTCGCTGCGCCCCGGCGGGTCGAGCCAGAGCAGCAGGTGCGGAGTGAACCTCTTCTGCGCCGCGCCCACCACGGGGCCCATGTCCCAGCGCTCGTTCTCCTCCGACTGCCCGTCTGCACCGCGGGGGGCGGAGTGGGGAATGGACACACGCGCACGGGGACCCACGGGGATACACACAGGGACGTGCACGAGGACGCACAGACACATTCACGCACCTTTATTAGCATTTGTCAGCGTGCTGCGCTACGAACCTCTGAAGCTGCGTCTGTGTCGACGTGTGTCTAGTATGTGCATGCTCTTCTCTGCATGTATTTTTGCACGCACGCATGTCTCGGCCTGCGTGTGTTCGTCTGTGTCGCGGCACCTGAGAACACGGCCTCGAGGACCTCGGTGCGGTTGAGGATGCGTCGCGAGGCGACGTCGAACGTGGTGCAGGGGCAGTGCACGCTCAGCTTCAGCGCAAACGGCGCGGCTCCTGAGAGGGGGGCACGCCGGCTCTCTCAGTGCGGCACGCGAGGGGGGGGCCCCCCAACACAACCCCCGACAACCCCCTGCCACCCGCCACCCCATCACGGTGACCGCTCATTTGCTACAAAGTGGGATGATGGGATGATGACGTTGTTGCTGATGGGATGATGGTGATATTGAAGATGGGACAGTGATAATGATGGTGGAGTGATGATGATGAGACGATGATGATGATGTGGATGGGATGTCAACTCTTGAAATCCCGATCGATTGTACGTATGCATGTTGAACTTCTTTCGCACCGCACGTAGCCAACAGTGCTAATCGAAGGTGCGGGGGTGGGGGGAAGGCACAAACACTAAACATAACAAGCAGCTGTAAAAAATGTAAATGTAGATTTAACATAATCCAGCTCACGGACGACAAAGGCAACCCAAGAGCTGGTGCCCAAGACAGCGCGGGGCGGCGGTGGTTGTCGCCGGCATTGCCAAACGCCGCGAGGGAGCTGTGCCCCTGCCTCGCGGCGTTTGGCAACGCGCCGTGGCGATGCACGTTTGTCAACGCGCCGTGGCGATGCACGGGGATGTCGCCGCCGCCGCCGCAGCGCCTCTCACCGTCGGCAGCGCCCAGCCGCTCTCGCAGCGCGGAGGTGACGTCGAAGGAGACCCACTCGGGAGGGTCGCGGGGACGCATGTTGCGGCTCGCGATGTAGCGTCCCGGCGCGCCTGGGGCCTCCGCCACGGCCTGCACACGCACACACGTCAGGGTTATACACACACACACCAGGGTCTCACACACACACAATAGGGTCACACACACACAACAGGGTCACACACGCCAGGGTTATACACACGCACACCAGGGTCTCACACACACACAACAGGGTCACACACACACACACCAGGGCCACACACACACACACCAGGGCCACACACACACACCAGGGTCACACACATCAGGGTTAAACACACGAGGATTACACTTTAGAGTTGCGTATCACGGTTATACGTCACGCAATAAAATATGTTCTAATTCAAAGTGTATCCCTGCTCAAACGAGTGTTGGGCAGTGAGAACTCGGTGAGGACTCGGTGAGGACTCGGTGAGGACTAGGTGGGGACTAGGTGAGGACTAGGCGAGGATGGGGACTAGGTGAGGACTAGGTGAGGGTGAGGACTAGGTGAGGGCGAGGACTAGGTGAGGACTAGGTGAGGACTAGGCGAGGATGGGGGCTAGGTGAGGGTGGGGACTAGGTGAGGACTAGGTGAGGGTGAGGACCAGGTGAGTCCTCACCTGGAAGAGCTCCACGCGCTGCTCCTGGCTCCTGGCCGCCAGGTTCGCCTCGCGGTGCACGCGCAGCTCGGCGCGCACGAGGCGCGCTCCGTCCGCCAGCAGCGAGCGCGTGTCGAAGCGCAGCAGCTTGAAGATGGTGCCCTGCTCGCTCTCTGACATGCAGCGACAGCGACAAGTTGAAATAAGTTATATATTTTTTTTAATAAGAAACACGCCCTAATGAAATGTACCGTACTATTAATGGAAGAACTCCACGGCTACAGTAAGTGGCCCCCTGAAGCTTGCCATAAGGTGCCGTGGTCAATTACAGCCACCGTGAGTTGAGCGTGGGCAATTAGACCCAAGCCGAAACATAACAGATAAAAAATAATGTTTACAAATTTCAAATTTTTATGGTAGAATATAGCATTGTCATCAGTATGACATAAGTATACCAAGTTTGCAGTCGATACCACATTGGGAAGTGGGCTAAAATTGAGTTCCAAGATTTGAGGATACAACCACGACAACGACAACAACAACAGACAGAGTGAGTGAAATGAAAGCGTGTAAACAAACCCAGCGCTCGTCACCTCCGTCGAGATTCACTCTCACCCCACCAGCCGTGGCATCGTTGTCACCCAACCCTCACGTCGTCATCACCTCATCAACATCCACGTTCACCTCATCATCACCTCATCCCAGAGGCAGTTCAAGTGCAGCACATTCCACTCGCCACGAGAAACAAACAAAACGAAATCTGCGGAAGCTCTCACCCAGAGCACTCGCAACGCCTCGCGGGTGACGCACTCCCGGGACGCTGCCGCGGATTTCTAGATTAGAAACTCCTCAGCTTGGGGTCCCCCCCCCCCCCCACATCCGTCCCATGCTTGACGTCTCCACGTGGCCCACACGGCCAGAGCGAGATGTTGGTTCGTGGGGTCAGGGCGAGTTCGGCCACCGCTGCTGTGGGCTGTCGGGGGTAATGCTGTTTGCGAGCACCTATTGAAGAGGCCGGCGCTGGTGCGTGCCTGGTTGGGTGGGTGGCCACACGCGGGCATCAAGAAACTCGTTAAAAGTCGAGTCAACCCATGATGGGTCATGTGTGGTGGTGTGGGGGGTGGGAAGAAGCCGCCAAATGTTGACGATTCTCGTAGCAAGGGAACAGCGGTCACTGGATTCTTTCAGCGAGCCGAAATCGCCACCACGGCGGACGATGTTGTGTATAGTGCGCACAGATTGCACGTGCTCTCTCGCTCGTACGCTCGCGAGAGAAAGGCCAGGGGAGGGGGGGGATGTTTGACCCCCGTCTCAATGGGTTTAATTCATCTGCTGGTTAAATGCGGGAGACCGAAATGAATGACGCCGACTGTCAACACGCGCGCAGTCGTAGGTGGCCGAGTTTACACTCGAGCCCGGCAAGGTTCCACCAACATTAAACTCTGCAGCCTTGGGCATTTGCCCGACTGCGCACTGAAATATATTCAAATTAAGTAATTGATAGCAAAAATAAGCGTGGCAATATCTTCTCCTTCACATATCTGCCCGTCCGCGTAAAAAAATTATACAAATTTTACATTTCCCACAAACAACGCAAGCCTCTTGGGGGAGTGCAAAATTTCATCAGCGTTGGTTCAACACGAGCACGGATCTGGACCGGTTTCGACACTCGGGGTCTCATCAGCAGGAGTGTCGGGCTTGCTCACCACCTGGCAATGCTGGTGAGCTGCCAGATGTCTATAGTCAAGGAGTCTCTCTCTTATGTGGGGTGCCGGAATAAGGGGATTGGTGGGTCATCGTGATGCTGTGTTGTGTTTGGGGTCAGGGTTTGGTGGGGTCATCATCTCGCCGTGTTGTGCCTCGGTGCTCATTGCGCCCTTACTAGCATCGACGTGGGACACGGTGCAGTCGAGGCGGCGCATCTCGCGGGCGTAGTAGTCGTCGTCGAGCGACGGCGACGAGGGGTCCCAAGCCCCGCCGTGCTGATGATGCTGCTGCTGCTGCTGCCTCTCGTGCCGTCGCTTGAGTTCCGCGGTCCACTCGAGCGTGGCGTTGTACAGCGCCATTGCCTCTGCAGCACGGCGAGACACAGCGAGCGCGACGGCTGTCACTCTACTTTGCAGGGAGATGGCCAAACTTCTAGATTTGAAGCTTTCGTGACTGCAAGGATTCATACTCTTTGATTTTTTTCGGTAAAGTCACGTAGGTAAAAATCTAATCAAATAAATGAAAACAACTAAATTAAATCACCAGCGATAGTTCTCTCGCTGTGGTTGTCCCCACCTGATGACGGACGCTTGTGTTGCGCCCGAAACGTCGTGATTTAATTTAGTTTTATTTTATTTTTTACCTACGTGACTTTACCGAAAAAACCAAAGAGTATGGCCAAACTTCTTGACCCCCTGCAAACTCAATTTATTCTTGCGACTGAGAGCCACGAGACACGGGAATACTCATGCGTGTGTGTGTGTTTATATATGTTGAACTTCTCTTGTACCGTACGTAGCCAACTGTGCTAATCGGAGGTTAACGCGGTTGGCTCCGCTGTGGTCGCTGGATACCAAACGCGAGTAGCCCCTGGGGCGCCCCCACAGAATTTTTTTTTCCTGGTTACACCAGCCCACAGGGGATTATTGTGTCCATCGTGCAGGGAGGGGCTGGGTGGGGCTAGGTGGGGAGGGTGGGGAGGGGCTGGGTGGGGAGGGTGGGGCTGGGTTGGGGGGTGGGAGGGGTGGGGCTGGGTGGGGAGGGGCTGGTCACCCCGTGGTGCCCTTATAAAACTCAACGTTTAACCTACTCACGCCGGCTTGTGCCCGCCCTCACAGTCGGGAATATTTGCGGAATACACTACGCCGCCGTTGACCCTGGCCATTGACCGAGCAACTCAACGTTCCTACCAGCTCCCTCCGCAGGAATGTGTTTGTGAAAAGATGCAATTTTTTTAATCTGCTTCTCTCTATCGAGGACCACTTGAACTGCCTGGGCGGCTGCGTGTGTATTGCGAGCAGCGGTCTGAACTTCCTCGGATTCCGGAAACTCTGGGCCCTCTCTGGCACGGGGTCAACAATTCAGATGAGCGCAGCCAAATGCTCGTTTGAGCGGGCAGAAGACTTCTAAACAATCATTGCACTAAACTTTTTTGTTAACTATTTTGAGAGCCTTGAGCAAAGGCGCTCTATAAATATAATCTAAGATAAGATTAGCGCAGAAAAAAACGCCGTGGGGAATCGAGGGGTTGCTGCTTGAAATGGCTGGTCAATTTATTTATGGCCGCTGTTAGTCACCCCGTCTCCTCAGTGTCTCCACTCGGGGTGTTCCACGTGTGTCCATTTGGCTCTTTTTCCCTGACCACTAACAGCACTTGCCCCAGAGGTCGCAACCAGGTACCCGATACCCGTACCCTACCCGATACCCGGCTACCCGTACCCGGCCGGGTACGGGTACGGGTAGCCGTTTGCGACCCTGGTGCGGCCAGGTACGGGTACGGGTAGGCCGTGAGTCACTGGTGAGTAACTGTTTGTCACTCATTTCGGGTATGGTACGGGTACGGGTAGGAAACGGCTACCCGTACCCGGCCGGGTACGGGTAGCCGTTTGCGACCCTGATGCGGCCGGGTACGGGTACGGGTAAGGAATCAAAACCCGTTTGCGACCTCTGACTTGCCCCAACAGTGCGTTCAAGGCTGTATAGGGAGGAGATCTCTGTCTTCGGTGTACTCACGAGCGCTGGGCTTGAGGTCGCCCTCGTGTGCCCGCGGCAGCTGCGGGGGCTCGCTCAGGCCCAGCTTGCTCAGGATCTGGCCCCGGACGGCCTCGAGGCGCCGCCGCGCCATCTCGGGGGCATCCAGCGCCGCGGAGCACGTGGAGAGGGCGTGCGTGCACGCGCACGCACACACGCACAGCGCCAGGCACGTGCGCAGCATCCCGTGCGTGCCGCGTGCATCCATCGCGTGCGTCCGGAGAGGTCGGCAGGATCCTGTGGATACGCAAGGGAGGGCGGGGTCACGGAAAGGCCCCATCGGACTCGGCATGCAGAGTAAAACCTGACGCGAGGTTTTTCTTAACTCGATCGACAATTTCACTCAGAGTGGCAAAGAGGAACCACATACAAGCTGGAAGGAAGCAATCCATAATTGTCCAGGGTTCTGCAGTCACCTACATGGTAAGGCGTTGTCGGGCAATTAATGAGCGGTTGCATGTGGGAGGAAACTGGAGCACCCGGATAAAATCCGCATGTGCCAGGGGCAAACACTCGATCCCAGAGACGGAACAGGCAGAGCCCACGTGTTTGCTGCGCCGCATTCCCTTTACGAGCCAGAGTATGGCACCTTGATGCTCATGGAGAAGGGAGTTTCACAACATGTGTGTGAGCCACCATCTCCTCGCTGCCTCCACAGTTGCTGGATGACAGGCCACTTGCAGTGTAGGCACCACCGCACGGCTAAAGGGCGCTTGGTCTGCCGACAGAGACGTGACTTCGATTTTGATGCTGTTGCTGAGAAGTCGGCGTGGGAGAAATGTGAATTAAGTTCGGCGATCTCACACAAAACCTCTTGTGAGTAATACTGGTCGCGAAAGCCTACCACGTGTTAAACTAAGTTCCCCTTTTGAGTTAAAGCTTTCGTGACTGCAGGGATTCATATTCTTGGTTCTTTCGGTTAAAGTCACGTAGAAGGGAAAAAATAAAATAATATAAATCTAAAACAATAAAAATTATCACGACGTTTCGACTGCAACACAAGCAATCGTCATCAGGTGTGAAAATTTGAAAATGTTCTTGCAGTCGAAACGTGAGAATTTTTATTGTTCCATATTTATATTATTTTTTATTATTCCCCTTCTACGTGACTTTACCGAAAGAACCAAGAATATAAGTTCCCCTTCTTGCCAGAAGACGGGGGGCGGGGTGATTAACTGTGTCTCTGAATTGTTTGTTTCCAAATGCATGGTGGGGGATGTAATCCCTGCCCAGACCTCCTTGGCTCTCTGGTGTCAGTGAGAGCTGAGCTGAGTGCATTGAATGTTCAGAAGCGACGACGCATCAGAGCTCATTTGCGTATGCATCAGTGGAACAAAACAGGAGAATTTGTCCAAAAATCTGGCAGTCGCCTGATAAAGCTAGTTGTAATTACTGGCGAAACGTCGTACTTAGATTGTAAATGTTGTGGATTTGCTCTCCAACACACCAGTGTGTTGTACTAGTAGCGAATTGGCATGTTCTGTTTACGTGACAAACCTTAAGTAATTGGCTGTGTCGGGTGGTGACGGGTTTAAATACACTATTCTTTACGCGATCTAACCCAGAAAAACCTAGATTATTGATTATATTGGTCGCGAAAACCTGCGTGTTAAACATGCATGAGTGGTCGCAGAATGCTGAATTATCAGGTAAACCTCAGGTGGCATCTCACGTGGTTATAACCATTCGTTTATTTTGCGTCACTAGGTTTTAGAACTCCTCGCGACCAGGACAGAGTCTCATTTGCAAGAGTAGATCGCCAGAACGGCAAAAGCAAAAGGTTTGTTCTTGAAGCCATCCAGATATACAAACATAAACATAACTGCAACCGAGAAGATGGATTCAAATTGAGCAATCACTGGAAGGATGTTATTAACCAGGTACAATCTTAATTGCTCTTATAGCTCGCTTACACACTCGCATTTACAGTTTCTGCAGCGCGCTCATTACCCAGCTCAGGTACTGGGTCGTACCAGCGCGTGTTAGTCGCACAGTCCACTGGTTGGAGATGTTGTACCCTCACTCCTCTCCCACCATCACCCCGCACCCCCCGACCGCCCCCTGCTTTTCCTCCCCTCCCTCTTGCCGTATATAATATGCTGTTACGAACGGCTCTTGTCCACTACAGTAATTTTATTTCTTGCTGTGGTTATCCCACCTGATGACGGAAGCTTGTGTTGCTTCCGAAACGTCGTGATTTAATTTATTTTTTGATTATTTACAATTTTTAATTTTTAAAAAATATATGTATAAAAAAAGTTTTTTCTTTTATTTTATATCTACGTGACTTTACCGAAAGAACCAAAGAGTATAAAAAAGCAATACTGTACAACAATGAAGCAAACAGTAATCATGACAAAAGCGACCGTCTCTGCAGACGAAATATTAACGGTGCACAGTCGTCGCAGGCAGCTTCCACTCCGTTCACACAAAACATAATACGCGCTTGTTTCTGCGAGGCACCAAGTTCGAGACGAGTTCATTTTCAACCAGCTGTGAAAGCCTCGAGGCCAGGATAAGAGTCTCATTTTGCAAGAGAGACCCGGCTCACCACATCACGAGCAGTTGCCTTGCGCAGGACACGCGCACGAGGGGTTGGGTCAAATCGCACAAACCGGGCAGCGATGCGGAGCCGTCACTAGTGGATTGGAATAGGTATATTCTTCACCTGAGGACGGCTGCTTGCGTTGTGGCCGAAACGTCGTGAAAATTATTTTATTATGTTTTATTTTTATTATTTTATTATTTCCCTTCTACGTGACTTTACCGAAAAAACCACGAAGATGAATCTCTGCAGTCACGAAAGCTTTAAATCGAAATTTAACCTAAACTATGTTTTATTTTACCAGGTAAGGCCCACTGAGCTATGCAGCTCTTTTGCAGAAGCGACCTGGCCACAAATGATAGCTCAACGTAGTGGCTTATCACGTGCAAATGTATAGCAGCCAAATGCTCTCAACGCGTGTTTCTAAATGTGGAGGAAGCAATCCACAGGACCCGGAGAAAAATCCATGTGACCACGGGGAGAGAGACATGCACACTTCAAATATACAGGCGTCAGGGTCGGGATCGAACCCACTAACTCCTGTATAACCAGCGAGGTAGTTAACATCTCCTAGCCACCGTGATAACGAGAGAGAGAGAGAGACACGCAAACTCCAAATATACAGCAGGCATCAGGGTCTGGATCGAACCCACTACCTCCTGTATAACCAGCGAGGTAGTTAACATCTCCTAGCCACCATGATAACGAGAGAGAGAGAGAGACACGCAAACTCCAAATATACAGCAGGCGTCAGGGTCGGGATCGAACCCACGACCTCCTGTCTAACCAGCGAGGGAGTTAAAATCTCGCCACCGCGGCGTCTGTACCTGGTTAGCCACAGCAAGAGCAAAGAGGTGCTGCTTACTGGATGTGCTGTGTACATTTTCGGGGTCCATGACCCAGACAGACCAGAATGAAATTAAAGCCATGGGAGGGGAAAAATTCCTCAAGCGCAAAAATTATCAAGGTGAGTTGAACCCTTCACCTGTACTCAATGGATGGCACTGCTGCTGATGAACAGACAATTGGGGGAGTGTTCGAGGTGCGGGGTTGACATCGTGAGAAAGATGATGGAATGAACCAGGAGAGATGGCAGAAGGAATGTTGACATTGAGATGGCACTGGTGAGGCACCACAGACCAGCGGTCCCAAACCTTTTTGGCACCAGGGACCGGTTTCGTGGAAGACCATTTTTTCACGGAGTGGGGGAGGGGGGGGGGGTCATCTTTGGGTCTTTCCCCCTTTTCAAAGACACTCTCCATCGACGTTTGTTTTTTACTCATTGTGGCTACTACGGGTTAGAGCTTGTGGGTTTACTAAAACTGTGACCAAGACAAATGCGCAGTGCGGGGCCACGCGCGGACTCACCGCTCTCACCTCCTGCTGCTGTGCGGCTCGGGGGTTGGGGACCCCTGCCATAGACAACATCTAAATAAGGCGACAATCTTACCTTAAACACATAGCGTGGACAAACACATCTCGACATTCTCCCATACGGCAGCGTCAGCGGAGGGCTCGATGCCACCGAAGAAGATTGGAACTGAGAATCACACTCTTGGAAGCGTCTTTTTGGGTTCGAATATTGTCGAGAACTGGGAGTCACTCCCACAGGTCTATGGGAGAGAAGTTTATCTGCATCTGGGAATCACACTGCCAGAAGTGGGTGATGGGCTAAGCCAGAGGCAGATACAGTTGGAGGGTGGCCGTGAGCAGGCTGGCAGCGTGTGGCTCCCTGCGCAAGCGTGACTCCACAGCCGACGGTTGCCAATCTAAACCGAAGACAAAGATCCCCCGTGTAGCCTTAACAGAGTGTTGGAACAAGTGCTGTTAGCGAGCACCTATGAAGCTTGGCACTGAACACAAAGGGGGTGGGTGGCCAACACCATGCCCGGCCGCCTTTGTCTCCCCAGTGACGATGTTTACACACTTCACCAGGTACTCACTTGAGGCTCAGTCAACCTAGGGGAGGCCCACAACCGGTTCAGATAATCGTCACCGGCGCTGGTCGTGATTGGGAATGGACCTCGGGTCGCCGGGTTCGTAACGCAGCGCGCTAACCGCTCCACCACCGCTCCCCCCACCACATAAACACGAGCAGCCCCAATCCAGCGGCGTGGCCGAATCTGCTGGCATTGGTCCTGGAGCGAGGAAATTGCCCTACACCCACCCCAATCAGCGTCCAGTTTTGCCCGCTCTTCGTAGCCCGGGGGCCCGCGAATCTCTTGCGCAGTTGCACCGCCTGCACACTCGCCAGCTACGCCACTGGCCCCGAGGGGACACACACACAGAGAGAGAGGCACGAGGATGCCCGTGGGACTGTATCCCCCACGCTTGTGGGGAGCCAATCAGCGCCAAGACCATTGCCTCTCAAATGAAGCTGAGCACAATTTGAGGTGATGAGTAAATGGCACTAGATGCTGTCCTATGTGTATCTTGGAGTGCTTGTGCGCGCGATTATTCCTCGCTGATGTTATCTCTTGCGTGGTGAGGACTCTAGAACCAAGTGGGGATCTGCTGGGATGAAACGTCAATTTTGCAAGGGAGTTCGAGAACGAACATCGCAGACTGGTTAGGTATCATCACATTACACTGGGTATCATCACATTACACTGGGCATCATCACATTACACTGGGTATCATCACATTCGTAGTGAAGTGCGCTAACCACTGCGCCACCGCTCAACCAGACTGCCTTGGTGGATGGACTCATTGCGAGGAGATGCAGCAATGTCCGCTCCACGCGAGGCATCGAAACGGAAGGAGAATTTCCCAAATCCAGTGTTTACAAAAATTTATCTTTCAAACGTTGCATTTAAAGTCCCGCTCATCTACGATTAACACAGTTGGCTACGTACGGTGCGAAAGAAGTTCAACATACATATATACAGGGAGCCGATAGGATTATCTTGGCATTGCACTGAGTGACAGGAGAGGAGAAGGAAGGCCTGGTTTAGAGAACTTAAGCCGGTTAGACGCATCATGTTGACTGCGAAGACAACATTTGGCTTGTTGCAGGACACAGTCGCTGGAAGGGTTGATGGCCGAGTGGCTGAGCCGGACACACAGCAGTGAATACGGCCCTCGAGGGCGCCCGCAAAGGAGACGGAGCGACGAAATCGGATCGGGGGCCCAGCAGCTGGCACGGATTGTTGTCGCACTCCAAGAGCCGTGTGAGCTGGCGACTACCTTGCGGAAGAGGCTTTCTTCATCCAGCAGTGGCTTGATCATGTCACGGCTGATGACGGTGGACTGCACGTGTCGCTGTGTCCAGGGAATGGATGCGATGTCTGTCCGTCGTTCCGAGGACACTTTGGCTGTCTTCACAGAAAACGACACCCCCAGACTAACGGCTACAAACCTACTGAGACCACGAGCCGACGCCATGGCCCAGGTCTGGTAACGTTTTTGGACAAGATTGACATTAAAATAGATTTGGGGTGTCTTTTTTTAAGTTGTCTTTGCATCTGTCTGTAGCTCTCGTAAAGATGATCATATGTGAGCCAAACTCTGCGGTAAGTGTTGGCATTAGGAACGTATCCTATTTGAAAGCCCGAAAATGTATGGAATCATTGCCCAAAACTCAAAAGACATAAAACCGGCGCTAACGCATTTTGTCTTGACAGCTACCAGTGCGCTTCCGTACATTTGATGACAAACTCAACATTTTCGAAGACAAATTCATGTTGGAAAGCATGGCATATTCCATGCGCGTGCGTAAGTTTTCTTCCTTATCATACACACACACAACCCCAAAGATTCCCCGGATAGCCTTAGCAGCCTGTTGGGCGAGCACCTATGAGGGCCGGCACAGCACACGAGGGAGTGGGTGGCCAACACCACGCCTGGCCGCCTTTGCCTCCCTAAGTGGCGATTATTTACACACCGCACCAGGTACTCATTCGAGGCCCAGGACCGGTTCAGATAATTTCGTCACTGGTCGTGGCCTCGGGTCGCCGGGTTTGTAGCGCGTCACGCTACGGCTCCCCAGCCTTGCTTGTTATACACGCACACACAATCGCTATGCCACCAGCGCGCACAGCACACGGCTGCATATTATATACAATGCCGTGCGTATACTGCACGTGTCAACCAAAGGGAGCGGGAATCAATAAAACAAAACGAGGCATTATGGTGCTGGCAACGTGGCACCAAGAGGGGCAGTGTGAAAACAAAATCACTTGGTGTACTCTCCTGTCTTCACCAACACAGTAGCACGCACACCAAGCAATACACCAATTGGCCAGCATGGTGAGGTATGGTCAAACAAATCGAATATCGGTGAAAGGGCAAGCTAAAGTGGCCCAAGGTGATGGAGGAACACACGCGCACGCGTGTCACTTGAGCCTCACGAGCATCTGCCTTGCAAAGCGCCTCCACAGTTCGGTCTCTCCGCGTGAAAGATATTGAAGTCTTTGTACAAATCCCCATCAGTTGCAAGGCCTTCTCGGAGTGTGCATACTTTCAACAGCATTGGGTTCAACACACGACCAGAAACCGCTTGGACCCGGTTTCGACATTCAGTGACTCCATCAGCAGAGTCAGGCTTGCTGCCAGAGACATTAACAGGAGAGAACTCCCACTCTCTGTTAGACCTTGGTCTGTGCGATACCTGGGTTGCTTGCCATAGGAACGTGGAATGTCCACGACTGGCATAGGGCCAACCCAAACAGAAATGGGGTGCTTTCCCATCCCGACCGGCTTGAGCCTTGGGCTTCACTGCACAGCTGTTTTCGAGGCAAACAGCTCAAACAGCACAATGCGTCGCTGTGCTTACAATGAGTAACAGCTGGCCAAAGCTCGCACGCTACGGCTGCTACACAGCGATTATAATGTAACACACATCTGGCTTCGTACAGGGGGAACACCCCCTAACACGTACAGCGCCTCTCCAATCCACTGCTGGATGAGAGTCCGCCACCCCCACACCGTGCGAGTCGTCGGAGGTTGCTAGACCATACTTCACCACGCCTGGTCAGTGAGGGTTAATGAAGGCGAGTCGTGTGATCCCCGCATGCACCAAGCTGTACCAGAGGTCGCAAACGGGTTTTGATTCCTTACCCGTACCCGTATCCGGCCGCACCAGGGTCGCAATCGGGTACCCGTACCCTACCCGATACCCGGCTACCTGTACCCGGCCGGGTACGGGTAGGGTACGGGTATCGGGTACCCGATTGCGACCTCTGGGATGAAGCCATGTTTTAGGCGCGGGTGGGTTGATTCTAGGAACTTGAATTGTGAGAAGAGCCAAGACGTTGGGAAATGAGTGACAAACGGTGACTCACCAGTGACTCACGGCCTACCCGTACCCGGCCGGGTACGGGTAGCCGGGTATTGGGTAGGGTACGGGTATCGGGTACCCGGTTGCGACCTCTGAGCTGTACTCTGGTGCCCACCACGTAACACCGCAGCCGGTGGCTCCTGCTACGGATGGTGGTCACCCATCCCAACACTATCCAAGCTCCAAAACACCCTGCGTTAGCTGTCGAGGTGTGAAGCGATCAGGCGCACGAATTGGTTTGGCTTCACCACCGTTGTCCGTCCACCGCACCTCCGAGTAGCACGGCTGGCTACGTACGGTGCGAAAGAAGTCCAACACAACGTGCTGGGTGATAGAACCGTAGCCCCAACATACCGCAGTGCTTGACAGCTGCCGGTCGCAAAGTACTTAACTGGCCCCGCGTGCTGAAATTGCTCAGAGCGGCCACAACATCTGAGCGCTACGTGGCTGACAGTCAACTCTGTTGAACGTGCGAGCCAGTACCCTACCTGCCCTCGTGTGTAACTGCAGTAGCAAGCGCAAACAGCCGTCAAATGCTAAACCGCTGTCTTCATACGCAGCAATGCGTTTCGGTGACAGCAGCAGCAGCAAACAGCGGCTCAGACGCGCTCAAGAATAATGATTCACGGAGTGTCAGCCACAGAACGGACCGTGTCCGCGAGTACATCCACGTGGTGGAGATGGAGCGATGAAATCGTCGCGTTTTTGCGGTGATGATACCTATGACCATGGGGGGAGGGGAGGGGTGGTGTTGGTGGTGAGGCATTCATCCAGCAGTGGATTTAGGAGGCGGCTGTGCGCGTGTGATGGCGCATGGACTGCGAGAGAAGAAGCCACGTGCGTCTTGAGCAGTGGCAGCAGCGCGCGTTTTGGTTTCCCCAAAAGCCGCTGCCGAGCGCGGTGGTCTTACAAAAGTTCCCGACGCGAGACAATTTACGAAGCGAAATAATCCTCGTCTATTGCGTTGCGTAGAAAATAAACAACATCTATTTCAATGACAGCAAAGATAAAGAAGAGCTCCCGTATCGCCTCGAACAGACTGTTGGGTGCAAGCGCTGTTAGCGAACACCTATTGAAGGCCGGCGCAGCACACGAGTGTGTGTGTGTGTGGCCAGCACCAAGCCCGGCCGCCTTTGTCTCCCCAGTTGTTGCGATGCCTACATGTCGGTACTCATTTGAGGCTGAGTCGACCTAGGGGAGGCCCAAGACCGGCTCAAAGAACGGGAATCGAACTCGGGTGTCCGCGTTCGCGGCGCAGCAAAATGACAGTCGCAACGCGTTGTCCTGTCGTGACGGAATTGACGGCTGTCAAACAGCTGACGACGCTGTCCACGTGTGTGCTCCACGCGGAGCCGTATCGACAGCCGGTAGGTTAGTTAATTAAATTATAAGCTATGATTTGTTTTACCAGTGAAGGCCCACTGAGCTGAACAGATCTTTTTGAGAAACGAACTTACTAACAGACGATATCTCGACGAAGTGGCTGACCACGTGGAACTTTATAGCAAATACGGCACTGTGGTCGCACGTGCTCGATTCAAAACGTGGAAGGGGAAACCGGAGGACCCGGAGAAAAATCCCCACGACCACGGGGAGAGAGAGAGACACACGCAAACTACAAATATACAGCAGCAGGCATCAAGGTCGGGATCGAATCCACGCCTTCCTGTATACCGGGCGAGGTAGTTAACATCTGCTAGCCACCGTGATGATGATGAGAGAGAGACACAAAAACGCCAAATATATAGCAAGCGTCAAGGTCGGGATCAAACCCATGACCTACTGTATACCAGGCGAGGTAGTTAACATTTCATAGCCACAGTGATTATGATGAGAGAGAGAGACACGCAAACTCCAAATATACAGCAGGCGTCAAGGTCGGGATCAAACCCACGACCTCCTGTATACCAGGCGAGGTAGTTAACATCTCCTAGCCACCGTGACGATGGTGATGAGAGAGAGACACGCAAACTCCAAATATACAGCAGCAGGCGTCAGGGTCGGGATCGAACCCACGCCCTCCTTGCTGTGAGTAAGCCCAGGACGGTCTCACCTGCACTTGCCGTCAGCCTCAAACCGAAGATTTTCACTCCGAGTGTGCGCTGCAATCTTCCACCGGCGCGACTGTCCGGATACCGACAACAGCAGCAGCGGCAGCCAGGGCCACGGAGTAGAAGACACACAGAGAGAGAGCGAGAGAAGCTGTCACACGGAGAATTCACACTGTGTGTGTGTGGCCGTGCCGTGCAAGCCCCCTGCCGAGTCTGTGCCGCTCCATACACCGCGCCACCCTCGTGCGCGTTCACATTTTATAGTCGCCAGCTGCCGCTCTCCGAGCCTCTCGTTCGCCCGCAGGCTCGTGACGCGGGGGTGGGAAGCACCGTTCAGACTCTTAGGCGGTGACGGCGCCGAGAAAACAACAAAAAAAAGCCTCGCAAACCGTGCGAGCGAGCGCCAAACGAAAGCAACGAATGAAAAAAAATTAAGCCCGTAAAAACAAAGTTTTTCACTATAAATCCTTTATATGCGTGGCGGCTAGAGTCATCTCGTCCTCTGGCTCGAGATGGCTGCCACCTATGGGTCAGATGACTGCATGGCAGCATTAAGCAATTGGTAATTAAATATAATGTTTTTTGTCCTAAAAAGTGTAAACTTTTGGAAATCCTTTTTCACGAACACTAATTGTCACGCACAACGAGTCTGTGTGGAAAATGTCAGCTCGATTGGATCACGGGAAGTGGGTTAAAATGACCGAAAGATTTGCACGGTCCTAAGCAAGCAAGCAAGTGAACTTAATAAAGGATTAAAAAAATATATAAGAGTTGGGTTTTTAGCCTTGCTGGCAATTGAAACAGGAGGTGTTCAGGCGTCCAAACACCAAATGGACAACGTTTGCAAGTAATCGTGTCTGCATTAACCGCACATGGTGCTGTTGGTGAACATGCAAACACAACACGCTCTGAGAGTTTGATACTGGAAGCAAAGGTCCGATTTTGAAAACACCGATATTTGTATTTCTACCACCCTCTCGCGTACGATGGCAGCAGGAAAAATGCTGTTCAAAGAGGTCGATGCCATTGTCGAGGGCTGCATCTGCTCGCCACGACCAGAGAGAGAGAGAGAGGGTTTCCCTTCGAGGAGAGAGAGAGAGAGCAGAGTTCGTGTGGCTTTGCTGTTCCTGCTACACGGTCATCGAAGGAGCGCAGGCCACAGTGGTTTCACGTCGGGCCCGTTGTTTGGGTTGCGTGGCCACAAAAGGGCTTCTGTGGCTTGACTTTAATGTTACGCGTATCTATGCATTCACATAGGTCTATATGCATCTCTATGAATGTCGGTGCGTCTCTGTGTGTCTCTATGGGTGCGCTACGTATTTATCGCCCTGCTGTGCCGTGTGTGTTGTGGATGTCCTGATGTCCTGATGCGGTTGATGGTTCCACCAAAAATACAAAACAATCATTCACGTCGGAGAAAGGGGACCCCCATGTCTATAAACATCTGGGCAGTTCACCAGCATTGATTCAGGCAATGCCTTAGTCTGTCAAAGCCGGTCCAGAGTTTGTGCCTGTGTTGAACCAATACAGCTGATACGATACACTTCTATAAGAACACCTTATGGCGAATGGGATGCGTTTATTTTTTTGCGTAGGGACAGATAGATATAGGAAAGATGTGAATTGTCTGCGTGTTTATTTACCAGTTTAGCATTCCAGCGCCGCTGACCGGCAGCTGCGCTACAACCCGCGTTAGAACTCCGACTAACTGCGACTTGCCATGAATCTCTCAATCCACACTCAACTGACGGTCTACGGATCTCTGAGCGAGTGTGAGGCTCTCCGTGTGAGTCTATGGGGTTCCCTCTGAGTCTCTGAGTGCCACCGAATTGCACTCTAAACACGACGTCCATGGAGTGGCATCACGGGATATACCACGAGGGAGACAAAGGCGGCCGGGCGTGGTGCTGGCCTATACTCACCCACCCCCTCGTGTGTCGTACGGGCCTTCAAATGTGTTCGCTGACAACACTTGCCCCTGAAGTCTGTTAATGTTGTAGGGGGGATCTTTGTCTTTGTTGAATCGTAAAGGAGTTAAGCCCATACGGCTGCAGTGTGGCTCAAAAAATGAGGACACATCGGGTTGTTTAATTTATTTTAACACTGGAATTAAAATGTTTCATTGAGTAGTATTTCATGTTTACAGCAATGGGACGTAATACTCGTGTCAGAAAATCCCCCCAGGGCGGTCACAAAGTCGTCACCCGGTGTTTGTTTACGAGGGTTTGTTTTATTAGAGCGCACCAAGACAAGACGTACACAGCAACAAACTCCGATTTAAAGCTTTCGTGACTGCAGGGATTCATGGTCTTGGTTCTTTCGGTAAAGTCACGTAGAATGGAAATAATAAAAGAATAAAAGAATAAAAATAAAACATAATAAAATAATATACTTTATTATTATATTACTTTATTATATTATTTTATTATGTTTTATTATTTTTATTTTATTAGTTCCATTCTACGTGACTTTACCGAAAGAACCAAGAAGAAAAAAGAACAACAAACTCGCCGAGTGATTGACCCCGCCGTGAGGCTCAATAACGCAGCGAGTCAACCATCGGGCAGCATCCTCCGTGGGATTGAGAGTTCAAATCGTGGTGAGGAGGAGTGGGGTTGATAAATTCATCATCTCCCCCCCCCACACACACCCCCGGGGTTGACAAAACAACAACTGTCCACGGTTGATTTATCTTGATTCACACCCAGCCATACAATATTGCATTGCCATAAATGTCGTTCACATATATATGTGGGTTTTATGTTAAGGCCATAGTGTTTTGACGTATACGTTAAGTTTATTTTTAACATGAGTTATGACCAAATTCTGAATGTCCACAAGCAATTGGCCTCCTAAAGGCGTGTGTCACGTCTCTCCCAGCATCAACCGTGTTGATTTCATCTATTAAACAAAAAATCCTCAGTAATTTTTTTATGCAATCAACGGTGTATAAGTTACTCTCTCACTACAAACCGTGGCTCTGTGACTACGTGGGATGATGTCCGCTCACGTAACATCGACATACGTATGTATTCTTTTTTTCTTGTGTATCTGGTACTCAAACTATGTAAAAGTCACGTGTAAAATCATTCTCTAAATTAAAAAAAACGACAAACCATGCTTCACCAATTGCTGCGTCTTGCCGTCGGACGTAACAACCGCCTTCAACAATCCAACCCAAGCAGGCTTTCTAGATGTTACTATGCCAAGTTATCCCTATTAATATTCCCCACCTTCAATAAACTATCAATTCTCTCCCCAAAGTTCCCGCATCGCAGCTCGCGATGAATATTTTATTGACATCCGAGCGCCCCCTTGTGGACGAAGCGCGGAGGCGAGAGTGGAGAACAAGGTGCTGCAGGATGACGACACGAAGGTGGGTTGGGAGTGGTGGTGGTTGTTGTTGTTGTTGGTGGTGGTGGTGGTTGGTGGTGGTGGTTGTTGGTGGTGGTGGTTGGTGGTGGTGGTTGTTGATGGTAGTGGTGGTGGTTGGTGGTGGTGGTGGTTGTTGTTGTTGTTGGTTGTTGTTGTTGTTGTTGGTGGTGGTTGTTGTTGGTGGTTGTTGGTGGTGGTTGTTGGTGGTGGTTGGTGGTGGTGGTGGTTGTTGTTGTTGGTGGTGGTGGTTGTTGGTGGTGGTGGTTGTTGTTGGTGGTGGTGGTGGTGGTTGTTGTTGTTGGTGGTTGTTGTTGTTGGTGGTTGTTGGTGGTGGTTGTTGGTGGTGGTGACTCGTAAGGGGAGCGAGCGGTGGTTGCAGCGGTTAGAGGGCTGCACTAGGAACCCGGCGTCCCGAATTCGGTTCCCACTCACGGCCACCAACACCAGTGATGAATATCTGAACCGATCCTGGGCTTCCTCTTGGTGGACTCAGCCTTAAATGAGTACCTGCTGCGGGTTGTAAACATGGGCACGGGGTAGACAAAGGCGGACCGGGCGAGGTGCTGGCTACTCACCCACCGCCTTGTGTGTCGTGCGGGCCTTCACGGGTGCTCGCTATCAGCACTTGCCCCACATGTCTGCTGAGGTTATACGGGGGGTCTTTGTTGAATCGTATAAAGGATTTAGGCCCGTAAAGGGGTTTTTTTTGCAGGGTGGCTTAAAAGTCAGGACACACTGGGTTGTTTAATTTATTTGAACACTGGCATTAAAACATTTTTATTGTTTGTTCTTGAAGTTAATACTTTATCATTATTCAAAATGTATTTTCCTTTTCGGAGGACATTTAAATATTGAAATAAAAATTGACTCAGCACAAGCGAGTTCAATTAGTTTTCATGTATCCTGATGAAGGCAGCTGTAATCTGTAAAAAAAAATACTGAATTATTTTCAAAAGATAATTCATGTGTATGTTAATGGTAGTCACTTTGAACATGTGTTAAAATAAATGAAATAACCCTATGTGAGTTATTAAAATAAATGTAAACTATGTTTATTTTAGCAGGTAAGGCCCACTGAACTGTATATCTTTTTTTCCAGAAGCGACCTGGTCACAAATGACAGCTCAACAAACATCGCTTATCGTGTGCAGATTTATAGCAGAAAGCCAAATGCTCTAAACGCGTGATGTTGATTCTAAACGTGGACGGAAAACCCGGAGGACCCGAAGAAAAATCCACGCGACCACAAGGAGAGAGACACGCAAACTCCAAATATACAGCAGGCGTCAGGGTCGGGATTGCACTCACGACCTCCTGTGTAGCGGGATGAGTTCCCGTCGATGTTCTTGTTATGAGCGCTGTAAAACCGTGAAATGCACCAAACGGTACCGGGAAAGTCCCGTACCTGGTTCACCTGAATAGTTTATGTTGACTCGCGTTGCTCATTTCAGCATAACGATGCGTCACGCGTTTGTTCAATAATTAACATCGGGGTTTTAAAAAAAATTCCCTGCTACACCCCCCACTCCACCCAGGGGGTAAATCAAATTAAATACCTGCTAACAGGCAGACCTCGCTTAGCGCGACCCCCCGTACAACGCTGATTCGTTACAGCGCTCTTTGTCCCGTAGAGCATTTATATAGCAACAACAACAAACAGTCAAATACTCTCTTGCATCTCATTTGCCACGCACAACAATCACCTTGTGCATCGCTTTACCGGTATCACCTGAGGCCCTTCTAGCAGAGCTTGAGTGTGTCTTCAGGGGCCGTCCATAAATGACGTCACGCGATTTTGAACGATTTTTGACCCCCCCCCCCCTCGTCACATGGCGTCACAAAAAGT